GTTTGGGGGCCCCCCCCAAGTTTTTTTCCGGGGGGTGGGGAACCCCCCCCCCCCCCCCTTTTCCTTCCCCCCCCCCCCCTTTTTCCCTCCCTTTTTTTTTCCCTTTTTTTTTCCCTCCCTTTTTTTCCCTCCCCCCCCCCCCCCCTCTCTCCCTCCCCCCCCCTCTCTCTCTCAGCCGCCCACCGAAGTCGGCATTCATCAGCGCCATCAGCCCTTGCAGCTCCGCCTGCTGCGCCTCGTACTCTGGCGGCAGCGCATTGTCTCGCCCGCCGCCCGCGTACGCCCGCCTACCAGGGCAGTACAGGGTAGCGCCGCGGGCGTGTCGTGGACGTGTCGTGGACGTGTTGCGGACATGTCGTGGACGTGTCGTGATCGTCGACGCGCCGCGGAGGTGTCGTGGACGTGTCGTGGACGTGTCGTCGACGTGTCGTCGACGTGACGTGTCGCGGAGGTGTCGTAGAGGTGTCGTGGAGGTGTCGTGGACGTGTCGTGGAGGTGTCCAGCCGGCGGCCGGGGTAGTGTCTCGCGCCTCGCGACGGCGGCGAAGGCGGATTGCATCTCCTGCAGGCTCGAGGGCGAGGGGAGGCGGCTGTACCACGGCACCCGCACGTCCACCGCGATGCAGCGCTGGTCGCTCGACGAGCAGAGCACCTGCAAGGCACCACCCGCGAGGGGCGGGACGGCTGCAGGAGCTGGCAAGCACACACGCAAACGCAGTTGCAGACATCGTCGCCAAATGTGGAGCGGTGGGCAGTGGCGGGTGGCAGCGCGCGCGGAGTGGGGACAGCGGCAAGGCGTCAGCGGGGCGGCGAGGGGAGCGGTGGGCGCGTCCGGCGGTGGGTTGTTGCAGCGGGAGCGACGCCTCTTGCAGCAGCATGCCCTCGTCGTCGATTGCGGTCACCTCGACGGAGGAGAGCTCCTCGACCGACCAGTCGATGCCGTCCTCGGCGCCCTTGACGTGCGCGACCTGCCGCAGCTCCTCAATGTGCGCGACGTTGATGTCGGAAATGAATTGCTCCGCCTCGGGGTCGGATGCCTGGCGGTAATCTGCCTCGCGAGCCCACCGCTCGGCCTTGTAGTCATCTAGAAAGTTGGCCAGCGCCGGGCGGTGCCGATGCCGATGGTGGCAGGGGCAGCAACGAGGCGGCGACAGGCCGGCCCACGCGGTCGCAAGAGTACCCATCGCATGCAAAATCATCCTGCGCGGGGGTTCTAACTTCTTTGCGTGTGGGGTACTTCTGACCAGAACAAAAGGAACAAAAAGATGACATCTGCTCTTTGCACAACGCGACAAACAACAAACCTATCCTTTCCCTGAAGAGCTAGACGGAGATTTCTTGCTCCTGCCTGACGGCGCCACAACCGCGAACCTCGGCGGGGGCAACGAGATGTTGACGAGCAACGAGCGGGCCAAAGGTTTGGCCTCGGCCCGCGTCCGGCGCGGCGAGTACTCCATGCACTGCGCTCTTGCCGCAATCGCGCGGCGGAGCCCTCGCATGCAGGTTTGCGAGTGGCAGCGGCTCCGCGCCGCCGGCCGAGCCGCGGCGCTCCTCGACCTCACTGCGCCCGTCGCCAAGCTCGATTTGCCGGACGAAGCGGCGCGGCTCGAGTCCCTCCTCGACCTCGCCAGCACGCGCGAGGCGGAGGAGCGAGTGGCGCTGTTGGCAAGGGCGCGGATCGCCCTGCGCAGTGCTGTCGAGAAGTGGGAGAAGGCGCTGCCGCAGCTCGAATGCGGCGCGTCCCCTCGCGCGTTCTGCAAGCCATCGCGTGCAAAGGCGCTCGCGCTCAGGGTGGCAATCGGGGATGCCGTGGCCATCACCAAGTGCCTCGCCGCGCAACGCGCGCTGCCCGCGGCGTGCGAGCTGCCCCGACAGGGCCTCTCCACCTCGCCCTCTCCCTCTCCCGAGAGTTTGGCGGAGGAGGAGCGTCTCCTTGACGAGCTCGAAGAGGCGCTCGCTGAGGCGCGGGCGTCACAGGCGCGAATGTCGCCCTCCTCGCCGGTGTCGTCCGCCTCTTCCTCCTCGCCGGTGTCGTCCGCCTCTTCCTCCTCGCCGGTGTCGTCCGCCTCTTCCTCCTCGCCGGTGTCGTCCGCCTCTTCCTCCTCGCCGGTGTCGTCCGCCTCTCCCCCCTCGCCGGTGTCGTCCAGCTCTCCTGGCGGGGCATTGGCGGCGACGGTGGCCCTGGCTGCTCTGCCGGAGAGCCCGACGCGGGAGCCGGAGGCGGACTTCATCCTCCCAGAATTCAAGAAGAACCGCGAGCGGCAGAGAAGGCGTGTGGCGCGCCAGCTCTTTGAGCTGCGGGGTGGCACGGGAGAGCCGCCCAAGGCGCTGTGCGAGCCGCTGGCGACAGTGCCAGAGGAGACAGCAGCAAGCCGGACCAATGCCGGTCCGGACAAGGAGAACGCCGAGGAGAACGCCGAGGAGCGCGCCGCGGCGGCGCCGCGGGTCTCGCTCATTGGCCGCGTGGAGGGACTCGGAGCCGCGGGCGCCGGATACCTCGGGGCATATGATCGCGAGCCCGAGCTCATCAATGGCCGGGTCGCCTACGCGATGACAGACGACGCAGACAAGATGCTGTGGTTTTCCGATGTGGGGTACTGGCATGCCGGGCCGCGCGCCAACCTCGGGACCTCCAATTCGTGGCTTCTCGTCTTCGACAACTCGCCGTTCCCTGAGCGGGTGGCGGCGGAGTGGCAAGCGGGGTCAGCCGACGGCGAGTGGCAAGCAGCTCCAAACGTGCACTGCCTCGCCGGTGCCGGTGCCGGCCTCATGCACGAGTGCCTTCACAAAGACGTGATGTACAACCCGTCGCCCCCTGCAGAGCGCCCAAGCCCGTGCGGCGTGACGGACACGCTCTCGCCGGAGCCCGCGACGGGGCCGTCGGCACCGCCCGACGAGGACGACGACCAACTGGCTTTCACTGCCGCTACCGTCAAGCGGGTGAACTCCATTGGCGAGGAGCTCGGCCTGAAAGGCCTCGGCGTTGCGGCGACAGTCCGCGAGGCGGCGGCCATGCTCCTTATCGACGCGGCAGGGGCACGGACGACGCGGCTCCTCGTCGACGAGATTGAGCGCGTGCTCGGCGTCAAGCGCAGCGGCTAGGGCCTCTGCGCTGAACGCTCTCTGCCAGGGTTTGCATGGGAGCGCCGGGCGCGTGAAGCCGTGAGCGTCGTGGCATCACCCGTTCCATGTGGAGTGCACGAGGTGCTCGGCGACGGGTGCAGCCCTGATGCGAGTCGTGCTGGCATGCTTACGCTGTGCGCCAAAGGCTCGCCACCGCCAGGGTCACAAACCTGATCCGCAACGCGATTGTGGCCCTGGTAGGGTGGCTTCCTCGATGGCTTGTGACCACGGCGAGCGAACATTTAGCGACCGGCTGCGCAGCCCGACGCCGACTTGGCTCACGGGACCCACAAAGCAGCTATCGCGCAGCGCCCGTCGCTGCACGTAGACACTAAACACTGGATACGTCCAACGGCGTCCAACTTGGTAAAATTCGGTCCAGCTGATTAACCCTGGTACGTGGACAAAAGTATGCGTTTTTCGGCCTCCCCTCCCTAACATTAGCCGGCCAAAATGTGCTCCTACCGGCTAATATTAGGGAGGGGGGGGCGGTCGGGTGTCAGACCTAGCGCTAGGCGTGCGAGGCTGACGTATTTTGGACAATCCACCTACCAGGGTTAACACTTTGGTCGTCTCGGAGCGCCTAGCTATTAGCACTTCTCGGGTCCGTTGGGGCCTCTTTGTAGAGGGAAGAAAAATTCGATACCCGCGTCAAGACGCCTGCTGGGCCCCTGGGGGCAGCTTCGAGAGCCTTTCGTCTCTGAAGACTGAACAGCCGTCTGCTCCCCACTTGTCAACAGCAGGCGCTGGCGCCATCAACGACACAACCCTCCCTAGTGATGTTGACAGACACTATATTTATTGCCCACGACGCACAGTCCCGCAGCAACAGCCACAATGTCAATGAGAAACGAAGGATCTCTGAGAGATACTGACCTTAATGGGCCACACCACGCTCCTGCAATAGCCGCGCCTGCTCCTCGAGCTTTTCCTCCTTCTCGCCCAACAGCTCGAGTGCGACCGCGTGCTCGTCGCGCAACGCTTTGAGCCGCGCCGCCGCCCCGTGCGCCTCCGCCGCCTCAGCCTCCAGCTGCTCCATCCGCACCTGTTCCCGGGCGGGCGGCGTCAACAGCGCCTCCGTGCCTTCTCGCCGGCAGCTGCTCGCCGCCGCACGTGCAGCTGGACGAGCGAGTCAATGAGCGTCTGCTCCTTGGCCTGCATCGCCGCAACCAAGGAGCGGAGGCCCGTCAGCTCGCCCTGCTGCCGCGGGTCGAGAGGCGCTGCCGCCGCTGTGCCGCCGCCGCCGCCGCCGCCGCTGGAAAGGCGGGTTGGCTGCAGCAGCGCCGACTCCCTCCACGCGGCCCCGCCGCTCGCCCCGCCAGCGGGTTGGGACCTGTCCGCAGCCCGAGGGGTGAGGAGCCGCCCTTCACGCTGCCAAGACGCCGCGGGGCCGCGGCGGGCGGGGGGCGACCGCTTCGCGGCGGCGGCGGCGAGCTGTCGCTCGTGCAGTCTCCTCGCGTCCCGCCTCTCGCCTCTCTCCTTCTCGAGGTCGTCGGCGAGGGCGGAGGCGCGCTGGCGCGCCTCTGCTGCACCGCGTTCCGCCTGACTCCTCGCCGCCTCTGCTCGCTCTAGCGCGGCCCCCGTCCTCGCCGCCGCCGCCTCCGCCTCCGCCGCACGCCGCTCGGCCGCGGCCGTGTGCGCCTCGGCCTTGTCTCGCGCCTCGGCGAGCGCCTGCTCGGCGCGCCGCGTCGCGTCGCTCGCCTAGAGCGCGAGAGCACGAGAGGGAGGAGCACGTCTGGACTGGGGTGCGAGTTGGACTGGGGTGCGAGTTGGACTGGGGTGCGAGTTGGACTGGGGTGCGAGTTGGACTGGGGTGCGAGTTGGACTGGGGTGCGAGTTGGACTGGGGTGCGAGCTGGACTGGGGTGCGAGTTGGACTGGGGTGCGAGTTGGACTGGGGTGCGAGTTGGACTGGGGTGCGAGTTGGACTGGGGTGCGAGTTGGACTGGGGTGCGAGTTGGACTGGGGTGCGAGTTGGACTGGGGTGCGAGTTGGACTGGGGTGCGAGTTGGACTGGGGTGCGAGTTGGACTGGGGTGCGAGCTGGACTGGGGTGCGAGCTGGACTGGGGTGCGAGTTGGACTGGGGTGCGAGTTGGACTGGGGTGCGAGTTGGACTGGGGTGCGAGTTGGACTGGGGTGCGAGTTGGACTGGGGTGCGAGTTGGACTGGGGTGCGAGCTGGACGCCACGGGTCTGTGAGCAGTCGGTCAGCCCGCATCTACGTCGGCCGCTAGTACCATACCTCCAGAGTACCGAATCCAGTGTGGGTTCAGTCCCGTGGGCGGTGCGGTAGGTACTGCATCTAGGTCGGTCGCCTCACGCAGCTGCTCGCCTGTGCTCGCGGCGGCGGCGAGGTGGCGGGCGGCCTCGTCCCCTGTCGCGGCGGCCGCCCCCTCGGCCGCCGAGAGCCTGCGTGCTGAATACGCCAACCTCAGGGCGGGAGTACGGGATCGTGCAGTGTCTTCAGAGCACCGCGTGAATACCGAGGGGTGCGACTACAGTGAAAACCCAGCCGAGTACGATCGAGCACAGTTGAGTCCGTGTCCTCTCGATCGCTGGGTGGAGCACAAGAATCCGTCTTCCGCTTCTAGGGGCCGCGAGCTGGGATCGCAGCGCCGCGTCGCTCGCCTTCCACGCGGAGATATGGGGAGATGTGGGGAGATATGGGGAGATGTGGGGAGATATGGGGAGATGTGGGGCGATGTCGCTCGCCTTCCACGCGGCCTGCAGCTGGGCGAGCTGCGCCTGCAGACCGCTCACCTGGCGCAGCGCGAGATCGGGGGAGATTCGGGGGGGGGTGGGGGGTGGGGGGGTGGCAAGGCGAGATCGGGGATGGCCAGGGAGAGGCGGAAGGAGTGGGTGAGGAGATGGGTGAGGTCGTGGGGGAGATCGGGGGAGATTTTGGGGGAGATCGGGGGAGATCGGGGGAGATCGGGTGGAAGCCCTAACCTGCCGCAGCAGCGGCTGCGTCTCCTTTGCGACCGCGGCGGCGAGCTCGCGGGCTTGCGCCTCGGCAGAGCCGGACCGCGCCTCGAGCTCGCCCAGCTGTGAGGTGAGGCCTAGACGGGTCCAAGAAGGCTCCTAGGAGGTTCCTGCTTGTCCAACGTCGCCCAGCTGTGAGGTGAGGCCCTCGTCCCTCCACCTCGCCGCCTAGAAGGTTCCTAGAAGGTTCCTAGACGGTTCCTAGAAGGTTGCTAGAAGGTCCCGCCACCTCCCGCCTGGCTCAGCTTGGCATTCTCCAGCTGCAGCTCGGCGAGGCTGGCGGTGAGCGCCGCCTCGCGCGCCTCCGCCGCCTCCGCCGCAGCGAACCCGCTCGCCGGCACCGCTGCCCCCTCCGCGCCTGCCGCCGCGGCGGCGGCGGCACCCGCGGCGGCGCCTTCGAGCAGCTGCCTCCGCAGCTCCGAGGTTTCGGAGCGCGCCTCGGTCAGTGCGGCGGCGTGCTCCTCCGCCGCCTCCTGCGCCTCGCGGAGGGTGCCGCGCAGCTTGCGGATGGTCGACTCCTGCTCGGCCTGCCGCCGGCTCAGCCCCTCCCCCTCGGCGAGGACGGCCGCAATCTGCGCGTCCTTCTCGGCGACCAACTCGGTCTTCTCCTGCAGCCGCGTCTCGAGTCGGCGGACCTGCGCACGCAGCCGCTCGATCGTCGTCGCCTCCTGTGACTCGCCTGGGGCCGCCGTGGCATCCGCAGGAGCCGCAGAGGAGGTGGCGGCTGCAGTGGAGGATCGACGGCTGTCCGCCGCGGCCGCCGCGTCGGAATCGACGGCCGCCGCGTCCTTGATGCCGTCCTTGATGCCGGCCGTTATCTCGGCCTCGATCTTGTTCATCTGCTGGAAGAGCTTGTTCATAGCTGCTCACCCTCGGTCGCTTCCTCGCCGCGGGCGGCGCGCAGGCAGCTCTGAAGAAAAAAGTTTTCCCGAATGCGAAATTCTTTAGCCGAGAATTCTTTAGCCTTGGGGACGGCTAGCGCACCACACACTTCTCCTTAAAATCCCTGTGTGGTGGCGGCGTGCCGTCCTCCCATCCCTCCCTTGGGCCCGTGGTTTCTTTCTCTCTTTCTTTCCTTGGATGTTAGACGGTTACTCGATCGTGTTCAACGGCGTTGAACAGTGTTCAACGTCGTTGCACACAAGTGGAGAATGGCCGTAGCTGTGTGATCGTGTACATGGCACCTACGGTGGCAGCTCCGGCTGCCGCGCCGGAGGCTCCGGCCGCTCCCTGCGTGCAGCGAGGGCAGGCAGCCGCGACCCCCGCGTTCGAGATGAGCACGGCGATGCTCGTGATGCCTTTCCTCGCCTTCAAAAAGCAGAAGCGCATCTTCAAGTCCGTCAAGTCGTGGCGCGACGATGCGCTGGCCTCGGGCCTGCTCATCCGCTTCGCCTGGGTCGAGGGCGGCACTGGCAAGGTCGTGGACGGCGCGCTCGATGGCACGATTGTCACTGCGCAGGGCAAGGTCGCCATCTTCATCAGCCACACCTGGTGGGACCGCGCCTTTGTGGATGATACGAACGACCCGAACAACCCGTATGACAAGGGGGCGCCCGACTACCAGGGCGGCGAGAAGAAGAACCTCAAGTGGCGGACCATCGTCGCGGGCGTGGAGGCGCTCATCGCCGACAAGGGGCTGCGGGCGGAGGACGTCGTGCTGTGGTGCGACTGGCAGTCGATCTACCAGGTCGGCCCATCTCTTGTTAGCTCGCCTCGTCATGATGCGCATTGTCGCTTCTTCCATCAAATGAGTGATCGCCACAACTCTTCCAGGACGACGAGACGGAGAAGCTCAAGGGCGTCATGAGCTTGATCAAGTACGCCACGCTTTGCAATTACATGCTCGTCCCGACCGAGGAAATGGAGCTGAAGCACGACGCGGCGAAGTACCCGGAAGACATCCCGCAGTACGGCCGCCGTGGCTGTGCGGCTAGCTGCCCTTCTCTCGTAGTAATCGTGAAGAGTACCGAGTACAAATTAGGCATGAAAATCGCATATGTGCAGGGTGTCGTTGCGAGTACTTTGTCTTCTCGCTGTGGGCCGAGATGCTGGGCCGCGAGGTGCCGTTGTACGCGATCAAGGCGGGCGGCGGCTTGCACCAGTACCCGGCGGTGAAGGTGCTGGGCGAGAAGTACATGCCGAGCGGCGGCGACCTGTCCAACCCCAACGACAAGAAGAGCATCGTGGGGTTGGAGGACACGATGATCGAGGCGTATGGGAAGGCGGTCGTCCTCTACGCCTGCAAGGCCGGCACGACGGTCGATCTGCAAGACAAGATGATTCGCGCCGTGCACGTCGAGGCGCTCGGCGACGCCGTGGAGGCGTACAAGGTCGTGTCTCTTTCCCTACGCACCAACCAGCTCGGCTTCGATGGAGCTGCGGCCCTCGCGAAGGTCCTCGTGGCAAACACGTTCCTGACGGAACTGGACGTGCGCAACAACGACATCTCGGGCGACGGCGCTTCGCAGCTCTCGGCCACTGTCCTTTCCAACCCCAAGATCGAGAAGTTCAACGAGATCCCCGTCAAGGAGATGCGCGCCGCGTCGCTCACCACGCTCGAACTGGTGAACAAGGGCATCGGCGTCGTGGGCGGCTTCGTCGTTGCGGGTCTGATGCCCGTCATGGCCTCGCTGAAGTCGCTCTATCTGAGCGACAATGCGCTGTGCGGCGCAACGAAGTTTGGCGAAGGCACGTACGATGCGACTGGCATCAAGGCTATCGCAGACGCCTTGCGCGACAGTGCCTCGACGCTGACGAGCCTCAACCTCGCGGACAACTATCTCGCTGACGAGGGCGCAAAAGCGCTCGCACCAGCCATCGCGGCCAGCACGTCCTTGACCACCCTCGTCATCCACTCAAATCAAATTGGGGATGAGGGTGCCAAAGCACTCGCGCCAGCGATTGCTGCGAGCGCCTCCTTGACGGCAGCAAATTTGCTGCGGAACGACTTCGACGTGGACGCTGCCTCCATGCTCCTCAAGGCCAAGCAGGAGCACCCCACGCTGACCACTCTGTGCGGTTTCAAGGGCGACGAGACCCGCCTCAACTTCTCTCGCCAGAGCCTCCGCCCAGCGGATGCGATGCTGATCGCGCCTGAGATCAGCGTCATGGCCTCGCTAACGGCGGCCAATTTGCTCTGCAACAATCTCGACAAGGAGTCGGCCACCATGCTCGCTACGGTTGCCAAGGAGAAGAAGATCTCGCTCTGTGGCATCGGACTGGAGCAGACCAGCGCCGACTTCCGCGGCCAGGGCTTGGAGCCGAACGATTCCATTCTGATCGCCTCTGATCTTGGTGTCCGGGCCTCCCTAACGAAGGTGCGTGCCGCCACACCCCCCTCCTTCTTCGTGCCTCTGAGGGCGGCTTGCTTGCACAGCTCAACGTCCGCTACAACTACAACCTCGGCGAAGAGGGCAAGGCGGCCATCAAGGAGGCCGTGCGCGGTAAGGAAGGCTTCGAGCTCTACCTACCTGACGGCGAGCTCTACCTACCTGACGACGACGACGACGACGACGACGACGACGACGACGACGACGACGAGGAGGAGGAGGACGATGGCGACGAAGCCGACAGCGCCTGCTGGCCATTTCGAGACATTCGCCAAGAACGCTAGCTACATGGGAGGGCTTCGTGAAGGATGGATTGAAAAACATTCGAACAAAGAAGAGGCGACGGGAGGAACCGGCGGAGGATGCAGTGACGTGACACACACACACACAACACACACACACACACACACACACACACACCGCTCACCCACGCGCACTGGGCCTTGCACTTTGAATGCCGTGGGGCTCCTGTCGTCAGACGTGGAGACGCGAGGGTTGCCCCCCCTTGCCCCACCACCTCGTGTGTGTGGAGAAGTTTACCTTACCTTACCTTACCTTACTCTTGATGCCTTGTCCTTGTCTCTCTTAGAGTCTCGACTTGCGAAGCTGGACCGGACCTCAGAACCAGAAGCTGACGCTGAAGGCTGGCGTCAGGCTCCGCACGTGGTGCCAGCACCCCGCGGGTATGAAGAGGCCCTCGCCCGGCCCGAGCACCACCGCCGCGCAGCGCGCGCGCGCGAACTCGGGAAAGCGGCGCAGGTCGGGCTGCTCCACGTCGACCTGTACTTTTTACTAAGATTAGTATTCATCCGCTTAAGACTAGTATTGGTACACGATTAGTGTTAGTATTAGCAGGTCGGGCTTCTCCACGTCGACCGCGCTCACGTTGCCCTGCGCGTCGGTGCCGCCGCCGCCCGCCGCGCGCGGGCAGAGCAGCGGCGTCTGCGCGGCGTCGTAGAGGCGCACGAGCTTGTAGCCGACGACCTGAATGAGTATTAGTATTAGCATTAGCATTAGCATTAGTATCAGTACGCACCCGCGGCTCACGCCGCACGCCGCCGGCACCTCACAGTCGCGCCGAAGCCGCGGGAACTGCTCGAACAGGCCTGGGTGATACTCATACCAGCAATAGTATTAGTATTAGTATTAGAATTAGTATTGGCCGCGGGAACTGCTCGAACAGGCCTGGGTGATACTCATACCAGCAATAGTATTAGTATTAGTATTAGAATTAGTATTGGCCGCGGGAACTGCTCGAACAGGCCGTGCTGCGCCAAGTAGCCGATCCGCACCCCCTCCGCCGCGCCCTCCGCCGCGCCCTCCGCCGCGCCCTCCGCCGCGTCACCCACCGCGCCGTCCGCGCCGTCCGCCGCGCCGCCCGCGCCGCCGCCCACGCCGCCGTCCGCGCCGCCGCCCGCCGCGCCGCGCCGCTGCCCCGGCGCTGCTCGCAGGAAGCGGTCGACGAACTCGCCTGTACACTTAAGATTAGTACATGTACACTTAAGATTAGTACGTAGACCTCTCCACGAGCGATTCAGAAAACGTACCAAGTATCGATTCTGTATAGAATTGCAAGGCGCACACGCTGGTGCAGGCGGCGAGTCGTCGATCCGACTCGTTCCGACGTGAATTCGTCGAGGGGTTGGCAAACAGGGCCATTTTGCCACATTTTGCCCTCTCGCGCGATCTTCTCGCGTCGGCAAGCGCGCGGGCCAGGATGGGCGAGCCGGTCCCGCCACGCTGGACGGGCCAGCGGCTGGCACGCGCCGGCCACCCCGGCGGCGCGGCGGCCTCATCGCGCTCGTCGTCTGCGAGGCCACCGCTCGGCGTCGCCGCGTCCGACGGCGATGGCGCTTGGCTGTGAGGTGGGATGGCGGCATGGTGCGCGCGGACGTGGGGGTGGTGCGGGATGCGCGTGCCAGCAAGCATAGTTTCACCTCCCCAACCCCGCAGGCGCGCCGACGTGCTGCCCGAGCGCGCGTTTGGGGGCAGCAGCAGCTCCTCGCGAGGCGCCTTCGGAGGGGTGTGGCACCCCTTTCCCAGCCGCGCGCGAGTTGAGCTCCGATTTGCGCTCTTTTTCGCACACGCCCGACACTAGTAGGCGAGGATCGACCATCCTCCGCAAGCAGGGCTTCGTCGGGCGCGTCTTCGTCGAGCGGTGGTGCATCTCCCATGCTCCCACCCGCGCCCTCCTGGCAGCCCGCCCGCGGCCCACACCGACGCCCTCACGGGCTCACCCTAGTCGTAGGTGCGGTTTTTTTGCGTGCCCCCCGTCGATACGGGGCGCTGGGCGATGGCTGGGCTTGTCGCCGGGCGAGCTAGCCCCTCAGCCGGCCGCGGAGCGGAGGTGCGAAATCGAGGCGGCGCGGCCCCTGCGCGCAGCCTGTCCGGCCGGCGCGCGCATGGTTCCGTAGCCCGTCTAGTGCCTCACTGACCGACTCCAGCGCCACGGTGTATGTGGCCGGTGTGGTACTGGGGCTGGGCAGCCTTGGGGCCGGCGGGAACCGCCGTCTAGCGGTCGCACTAGTCTCTTTTCGTTGTGCAACCTGTTTGTTCAACGGTTGTTCAACCATACTTTGAGCCTTAATTATTAATTCGGGTTTGGGTCTCTGAGGTCGATACTAGCGTCCATAACTTGCCACAAGCATGCTTTACAAAAGTCCAGCGGAGGGAGACTCTCAGATCGGCCGTCCGCGCGCGCTGTGAACAGCGCCGTGGTGTTGAACACTGTTCAACACGACGTTGAACACGTAGCGAAAGAGAGACCGTAGAACAAATTGGCGGACACACACATGACACGGTCACATAATAAAAAAAATAGAGCAGCCTTTCTCCTGGAGAGGTGGGCGACAACCAGACGGGCAGACTACCCCGCCCCGCTCGGAGGGCGTGCACCACACACCACATAGCGACTGACAAGCCAGAGGTCGATACTGGGCTGGGTTTTTAGGCATTGTGGGGTTGGCTCTCCCATCGACCCTCATGACCTCCTGCGGTCTCTGAGATGGACACCAGTGGGTGTGGGACCACAGCCAGGATACACTCGAAGGCTGGGTAAGCAGTAGAGGTCGATACTCGGCGCGTCCCACATGGTCTGTGTCGCTGTCGGCACGCTGTCGACAGGACGTCGAGCGACACCGGTGGCAGTGCCACCCAGGAGTGGTCGGGCGGTCTCCTGTCATGAGAAAGCCACCATGTGATTCGTATGATGATTCCTGACAACCGCCTCAGTCAACTTTCGTCACAGTTCCCGCTCTGAGAGGAGCTGCGGGTCATTTCGACAGCTGGAGCTGTGTCGCCGGCGTGCGGCGGCCTGCCTCCGGAGGTGCCTCTGAGGTGGACATTTTTTGGTCACCGTGAGAGAACGCGTTTGAATTTTCACTCCGGAACTTCAACTCCGCACGCGCACCGGCCAGGGCTACAATAGTGCCAGTGAGGCGCTGTGGACCCAGCCACGTACTCTGGACGACCCATAGGATGCCACGAATGCCTGAAGGAGAGGGAGGCGAGGCCAGAGGCAGGCTCAGCTGCTCTCGGGTGATCCCGCTTTGGTGGCTGAAGGACCCGATGGTCCTGTCACATTCGTGTTCCGAGTCGTGGGGGTAGAAGATTGCGGGGGGGGCATCGAGTCAGCACTTCCTTGTACAGCGGACCGCCAGGCTCGCCGGCAGCATCCGCAGGGAGGCAGCATATGAGGCACCAGTTTTCTGGAGAGCTCGACAGCTGCGGCCGCGATGGCAGAGTCGGCCGCGGTTCGAGCGAGCAGCTTTTGGCTGCGGGATCGAATCGCGGAAGGCTCATGCCCTCGCGGAGCGACGCGGGTCGCGCGGCGTGCGCGTGTGCGAAATGCGACAAAAGACGAAAGACGACAGGCGCCTGAGCGCTGTACGCCTGAACTTTTGTCGCCGCAATCGCCACCGCCGCCATCTTGACGAGCAGCGCGAGCGCGCTCGTCGGCGGCCAGCCGTCGCGGGCCGGGCCGAGCCCGGCCTCGACCGGCCGCGCCGCCGCAGCAGGCTGGGAGGCCCGAATGGCGGCCGACCAGCTGATAAGTCGGCCTTCTCTCGCGCTCGGAGGGCGTGCACCACACAGCACACAGACGTACAAGACTTGTATTGAAAAATTCTCTTTTGAAAAGAAGCTGTGAAGGATGCGTCTTGGGTCCGTGGTTGTGTTTTTGTGTGAAACATCAACAACGCTGCTCGCAACATGCGTGTCGCGCACTCATTCATGCATGACAAACACAAAAACAGGCCCCAAATTACGTGTGAGTGTTAGAGTTGTTTGGTATTGCTAAAAATCTCTCTCTGCATGACCGGTCTCAATGTCCCAGAGTCCCACCCCCCTGCGCGCGGGCCTTCTAAGCCCGCGGGTAGTCGCCCCCCATCCCCAGGGCCTCCAGGGCTCGCACCTCAACCTCTCACAGACCAGCGCACAGCGCCATGGGAGGTAGTTTCTTCTCAATAACAAGGCTGTGTGAGCTTCTTGATCTTGTTTCTTATCAACCTATCTGTGAAAGATGCCCCACCCCCCTGCGCGCGGGCCTTCTAAGCCCGCGGGTAGTCCCCCCCCATCCCCAGGGCCTCCAGGGCTCGCACCTCAACCTCTCACAGACCAGCACACAGCGCCATACGAGGTATTTTCTTCTCAATAACAAGGCTGTGAAGTGAGATGTTCCTCCACGACTAGTCTCCGCGGCGAACGAGTGCTGGCGACGGTGCAGCCACGAGTCGCTGCCCAATCGCATCCACCCGCGTCCCATCTCCGCGGAGGACAGCATGCTCCCCGAGGACCCTGTGAGAGCCTTTCAGCTATGCTACTGCGGCTGGTTGATCCTCTCGATGCTCACCAGCTCGAGTCAGTACCAGCTCTTCTACACGTGGTTCCACAGCAGCGGCATCGGGCTGGCGTCAAAGCGAGGCTTGGGAGCGCATCCCAGCAAGCTGTACGGCATCATCACACCGCCTGCACTCACGCCGCTGCAGATGCGTGCCGTCGGCGTCGCCTTCACTGCCTGCCTGCTCGCGTCGCTCGCCCCGCTCGCGCCGCGGCCGTTCCTATTCGGCGCCTTTGCGCTCTCGTTGCTCTACTTTCCGCAGCTCTACGCCGAGGCGACCCTGTCGGGGCACAACCCGATCCTGGTGCCCGCCGTGCTGCTGCTGCTCGCCTGCGCCCCTTCACTCGACGCGGCCGCCTCGCCGCCGTCGCCGCCTCCGCCTCCGTGGCCTCTGCAGGTGGCCTCCCGGAGGAGGCTTCCGGGAACTTCCCGGGCCCCTCCTCCAGTCGCCCGCCTCCCGCGTGCCAGAGCCATCCTCGGCAGTCTCCGGACGCTCTCTAGCTGTCGCCACTGCCGCACCGCCGCCCTCTCCAGTGCTCGCGTCGTCTCACCCCGCGCGCCCGCCCGCCGTGCAGCTGCTGCGAGTGTACCTCGCGTCCGGGTACGTCTCGTCCGGCGTCGCGAAGGTGCTCTGCTCGTTCCGCTTCCGCCGCTACTGGGGCCTCGGCACCTCGACACCTCGCTGCAGCACGGCTGTCTCTCGAGCGTGTGGGGTCCCGGCCTGCCGACTACCTACGATGCACATAGGCACCTCCCTCCAGCACTACTTTCTCGAGGGCATGTGGTCCCGGCCTGCCGACTCGGCGCCTGACACGCCAGTGGTAGTGCCGTGGCGGCTCGCCAGCTCCTGGGGAGGTGGAGACGCTTGTTCTCTCAGGCTCTGACGCGGTCGGTGCAGTGGCGGCTGGTCAAGTCGCCGCGCCTCCTCACGATCTTCGCCAGCGGGGCCCTCCTCTTCGAGCTCTCCTTCGCCGTGGCTCCCTTCAGCGGACGCCTCTCGCCGCTCTGGTGCGCCCACGGCCTCGCCTTCCACGCCGGGATCCTGTGGCTGCAAGGGCTGGACTTCGTGTCGTTCTGGTCCGCCTCGCTGCTCGTGTTTGCCTTCCCGCTCTCCTCCCTCCTCTCCGCCGACTTGCGCCACGCCTTTGAGCATGAGCCGCTAGAAGACGGATTCTTGTGCTCCACCTAGCGATCGAGAGGATACGGACTCAACTGTCCTCGACCGTACTCGGCTGGGTTTTCACTGTAGTCGCCTCCCTCGTATTCGCGCGGTGCTCTGAAGACACAATACGCTGATGTTGGTGTAAGCGCACGTAGGCACGAGCCGCTCTGGCTGCTGCCGGCCGCGCTGTACACCCTGCTGCAGCTTCTGACGGCGGTGTCGCTCTACGACCTCTGGCGCGCGTGTATCTTGCGAGACAGCCCCGACCGAGAGATCTGGCCGAGATCTGGCCGAGATCTGGCCGAGATCTTGCCGTTCGCAAGACCCTTCCGAGACCCTTCCGAGACCCTTCCGAGACCCTTCCGAGACCCTTCCGCGACCCTGCGCAGGCTCGACGACATCCTGCCCTTCTCGTGCTGCCCGATGTTTATGCCCCCGCGGAGCCCGTTCGACCCGCTCCCAAAGTGGCAAACCATGACGACCGCGCCGCTGACGGGCAACGTGCGCCGCTCCGGTCGGATGGCATGTAGATGCCGGATGGCCGTGCCACAACGCCCCACAGCTCATCGGACCGCGAGGCTCAATGCAGCCGCTGTAGCCGAGAGGAGCCGAGAGGAGCCGAGAGGAGCCGAGAGGAGCCGAGAGGAGCCGAGAGGAGCCGAGAGGAGCCGAGAGGAGCCGAGAGGAGCCGAGAGGAGCCGAGAGGAGCCGAGCCGGTTGAGCCGGGTAGGCTCGATGGAGCCGCTCTACTGGAGCCCGTGTTCGGGCGTCTTCGGACTGAGCCGCGCCGACCTGCAGAAGCTGCCGCAGCGGGTCGTCTGGTTCGGTGAGCGGAGCCGCCGTCGCCGAGCATTGCCACCGTCGCCGAACCGCGCCACGCTCCTCTTGCGAGACATGTCCACGACATGTCCACGACACGTCCACGACACGTCCACGACACGCCCACGACACGCCCACGACACGCCCGCGACACGCCCACGACACGCCCGCGACACGTCCGCGACACGTCCACGAAGCGACACGTCAACGACACGTCCACGACACGTCCGCGACACGTCCACGAAGCGACACGTCAACGACACGTCCACGACACGTCCTCGCCAGGCTCGACAACGGGGATGCCTCCCGAGGCCGAGCGGTTCGTGCGAGCCGAGTGCCGCGCAAAGCCGTTCCTGCTGTCTGCAGAGGTAGATGCGGGGAGTCGACGACGCCCCTCCCCCCCCCCCCCCGCACTGCAACGAGCGCTCGCTACGACGCGCGCTCGGCTGTAGACAAGCCGTGCGCGCGCGCGGGGCCTCGGGCTCGTAGCCCTTCGACAGGCCTTAGAGTGAAGCCCTCGCATTCCGACGCTGCTGAACGCAGCACCCACGCTACTACCTGCCCCTCCACTACACACACTGCAGGTTTGCCAACTTACTCTCACGGTTTGCCCGCTCACTCTCACACACACTGCAGGTTTGCCAACTTCGAGCTGAGTGCAGAGCTCAAGTGCCTCCTTCACCGCTGGGTCGACGCCATCAACAGCGGCGAACTCGCGGACGCGTGGGACGGCGCGCGGAGATTCCCCGAGATTCCCCGAGATTCCCCGAGATTCCCCGAGCCTGCCCGAGCTTGCGCGGGACGCGCGGGACACCGCACGCGGAGAGCACCCGAGGTTCCCCGAGAGGCGGTCAGCCCCTTCGGGTCCACCCAGGCCCCTCACCGGCGGCGGGGGCGAGGTGTAGGCGCAAAGATGGAGCAGCTGCTGCAGCTGCAGCAGGCAGGGCTCGACGCCTTTCGCGCGTGCGTGGACAGGCTGCCGCAGCGGACAGCAGGACCACCGGCGGACTGCGGCTTCTCACCCCCGACGGCGGTGCTCAAGGGCGAGTGAGCACGGGCGGTGGAGCTCAGCTTGACCGGCGGGGGGCGGGGGGGCTGCTCCGCGCGGGGAGCATTTTGTGGAGCGGCCAGCGGTCGTGGCCGCGACCGCTGGCGTGCGGCGGTCCCTCTGAGATCTTTTCTCAGTCTCTCATCCACATGTTCAGGTTGTGAGGTGGCGCGAGACTTCTCATTTCTCATGCATATGTGAATCCGACAAGCTCAAGCTTACTCAAAACCCTAAAAACACGATCTCCGCGCGTGGACTCCGAAGACCGATCCCACGTGCCACGACAGGACACTCGGGCGCGACAGACACCCGAAACACCGCGTCGCCGAGTCCCGTCCGTCTCCCGAGGTCGCCGCGGGTCCGCGCCATAAAAAAAAGACGCGGATGGAGGTTCGCGGCGTGTGCCACCCGCGGGCCATGTCGCAGTCGGGCGAGGTGGATATCCTTTGGCCGCGTTGGGTAGCGAGGATTGGTGTGACGCGATCCACGCAGGCGTGGTTTCTGACGGCCGACCGTCAGTGCACGGAGTTGCCCCTTAGGCGGCTCCGGTGGTGTGTGTGCCAGTCCGCGCCAGTCTGCGCCCTTGTCGTGCCAGTGTGCTGTGAAGAGTGGGCCGGTTGTTCGCCGACGCTCACGCGCCGCGGGCACACCAACCAGGCGGCGGCGGACGACGGCCAAGTCCTCACTGGCTCGGGCGACAAGGCCGTCAAGGTGTGGCGCGGCGACGAGCTCGTGCGCACCACATCTGTACACGTACATATATGGAAGGCTTTGCTGCCACCGCACGCGCCTCGGACGACCTTGCTCGCCACCTGCCGCTTTACCCGCCAGCCTCGGCCAGCAAGCTCGAGTCGGTCCTCTTCTGGAGCCTACACTCGCTCGCGACCGAGCCGGTGCCAGAGTCGCCGGACGCCGTCATCGACCTGCTCGAGCGGTGGTCGCTGGTCGAGGAGCGGCACACCGCACGCGTCGCCGCCAAGGCCGCGTCGCCTCGGCCGGCGTGCTCGCGCTCCGCCAGCTTCGGCGCCGCCGCGAGCGACGGCAGCGCCGACGGGTGTGGCGCTGACGGCGGCAGGGCGGGCTTCCGAAGTTGGTTGTCGCCGCTCCGGCCCTCCCCGTCCGTCGTCGGCGGAGGAGGGTGGTTCTCCGTGCTGACGGCCGAGGAGCAGCGGACCGGCTCGCCCCGCGGCCTTCCCCTCCGAGAGCTGTCCTCCTCCTCCTCCGCCTCGGGTAGCCAGCCCGGCTGGGCGCTGCCGCGCAGCCCGCTGCAGGCGGCTGCGTTTGCGCCTCTCTCCCTCTTTCACCGGGCGTCCGCCTCTCGGCTCACTCTCGCGCCTCTCTCTTAGACGCTGCGGCGGCGCCTATCTCTGGGCACGCTGAGCACCATCCTGCCCGCCTCCATCGGGACGATGCTCGGATCGGTGAGGGATGGCCGAGGGGATGGCAGAGAGATGGCAGAGGGATGGCAGAGGTGGCCGAGAGAGGGCCGAGAGGTGGCCGAGAGAGGGCCGAGAGATTCCCCGCCTCTGGTCCGAGAATCCCCGCCTCTGGTCCGAGCCCTCCTCTCTCCCCTCCCGCGTCGTCCCTGGTCAGGCCACCAACCTGCTCGAGCTCTCCAACCTGAGCGATCTCCTCGAGGAGGGCGATGAGGCGGACGGCGGAGGGGAGGGCGGAGGGGAGGGCGGAGGGGAGGGCAGCGAGGGAGGCGAGGGAGGAGGGGGAGGCGAGGGAGGCGAGGGAGGCGGAGGGGAAGGCTTGGCCAAGGACGGTGCGACGGCTGCGGCGCTCGAGTCGCTGCGCCACGCGATTTGCACGCGCGTCTGCCTGGCGCTGCTCGACTGGTGGCTTCTGGCCCTGCTCGACCTGGCCTTCAAGGCGCACCCAGTCCTGGACCTTTCCTGCCCCTTTCCTGCCCCTTTCCTGCCCCTTTCCTGCCCCTTTCCTGCCCCTTTCCTGCCCCTTTCCTGGACCTTTCCTGCCCCTTTCCTGCCCCTTTCCTGGACCTTCAAGGCGCACACAAGTCCTCGCTGAGCCACCCAGACCCCTCGCCCCCCCACCGCCCTCGCCCACCCACTGACCTGAACCTCCCCCCCCCCCCCTCTCGCCCCTCTCGCCCCTCAAGGTGTCGCGTGCGCGCGAGTGGTGGTCCCGCCAGGTGAGTGTACCTGTGCCTCGGCTGTGCCTCGGCTGTACCTCGGCCGCATCTCGGCTGTACCTCAGCTGTACCCCGGCTGTCGGCTGTCAGGCGCGGCACCCCTTGCGCCACCAGCTCTGGCGCGGCCCTCGCAATTGGCTGGCCAGGATAGCGGCGGCGAGCGCGGCGGTGCCGCCGGCGCTGCCCTCCGAGTCACCTCCGCCGCCGCTCGCCCTGTCTCGCCTCACGGCTCTGCACTACCGGCATGCGTCTCACGTCGGCTTGCTGCGCCACCGGCTCTCGCGCATCCACCACGCCCCCTCCCTCGAGGCCGCCGGCGGCGCCTCCCGCCTCGCCATCGCCGCGATCAACGGCCTGATGGCGCAGTACGCGGCCGAGGTAGAGCGGCGAGATTGCAATTTCGGGGAGATCTCGGCTAGACCTGGCGCAGTATGCGGCGGAGGCACCGGCCGAGCCACACGCCACTCTCACGGCCACACTCCCACTCTCCGCCGCCGCCTCGCATCGCAAACTCAGCCTCCGCCTCCGCCTCCGCCTCCGCCATCGCCTCCGCCGCCTCCTCCGCCTCCGCCTCCGCCTCCGCCTCCGCCTCCGCCGCCGCCGCCTCCTCCTCCGCCGCCGCCTCCGCCTCCGCCTCCGCCTCCGCCTCCGCCTCCGCCTCCGCCTCCGCCTCCGCCTCCGCCTCCGCCTCCGCCTCCGCCTCCGCCGCCGCCGCCGCCGCCGCCGCCGCCGCCGCCGCCGCCGGCGTAGAGAGTGCAGATGCGGTCGATGGCTCTGCGGGAGAGAGCGTGGCCACCGTAGCGCGCAAGGTCGTCGCGCGAGAGAAGGTGGTCGCCGTCCTACGGTGACAACACGCCAACCTCGGGGGCGGGGGTGCGGGTACTGAGCAGTGTCTTCAGAGCACCGCGTGAGTACGAGGGCGGCGAGCACAGCGAATACAGCGGCAGTGGCTGAGCACGGTGGGTGCG